AGGCAAGGTGGCTGGTGGTTGGCGGCAGTTGCCACACCTGCTTCCACCCCACCTCCTTTGGGGGGGGGGGGCTCGAGTCTCTGTCAGTTGCAGCCAATGCCGAGCTGATCAAGCGGTGGCCGTGCAATAACGGTTGCGGATGATGACTCACATTCCTTGGCGAGAGCTTGAGCTCGAGTTCCTGAGGGGATGTTGTGTTGCTCGCCTGTTCAGCGGGCCCATCCCACGCCTCCTGCAGCTGCCAAGCAGACCGTCGCCGTCTCCTGCGGGCATCAGCGCAGATGGCAGGGTGGCAGAGTGGCACCTCCCGGCTCGTGGGATCCATGTCAGCAGCGTCTGGGTGTGAAGAATACCGTACTGTACTCGTACATTGCCACGCGCTTCATAACACCTCGTTGCCGCAAGCAAGCGAGTACATCGCAAAGCTCCGTGTTGAATGGACCCAAACGCGCCTCTTTGGAACTTGCCAGTGGAACACTCGCTGCACACGATTCTGGCGGGTGCTGGAAACACGGGCTCCAGACGTTGGGTGGCCACCCACATATAATTTCGTCAAATATTATTTTTTGCAACGTTTGCAGCCGCGTGGCTAATAACTAGTTTTGGCACAATACCGGCGGCCCACGTCAGGGGGCTGCAGGCGGCCTGATTACAACGTCAGACTTTGGTTTCTCGTTTACAACAATATTGTGGGCCCTGAACCCTGGCAGAGATCAGTTTCTGCAAGCTCCGACAGTGCCGGAAACATGTTTCGAGGGCCGCCTCGAGGGCAGCCCGCCGCTCAAAATGTTGAATGCCATGAAGGTTATGCCCAGGAAAACGGCGCATGCGATGCAGGCATGGTCGGCTGCGACGCCGTTTCGGACTCTGCCGAGCACGGGGCGATGCCGGCCCGGCGCGTCAACAGCGGCAGCAGCAGCGTCAGCAGCAGCGGCCGCTCCCTGTCGAGCGTCATCTTCCGCGCCCTACGGATCGGCTCGGACGGCCGCAAGTGCTGCGCCGCGCCCGCACCGCCCGGCGCCGGCGCCCCCGCCGCCGCCGCTGCCGCACCCTCGTGCGGCGCGGGTGGCGGCGCCGTGCCGCAGCCTGCCGCTGTGACTGTCGTGTGCGGCGCCATGGAAGGCGTCCTCTTTGCCTCGTCCCTGCGCGTCGTCATATCCAGCGGGCCCCGGGCCGGCCACGACATTTCTCCAACGGAATTTGAGCGGCTTGGGGGCAAGGGCTCGGCCAAGAAGTGGCGCCAGAGCATACGCGTCGCGGGTGCGCAGCGGCGGCGCTGGGGCGGCTCCGGGCGGGCCGGGCGCCTGGCTGGCTGCGGCTGCATACAAGGCGCGGCGCGCCGCTGTTCCGTCGGAGGCGCTCAAGCGCACGGCTCCTCTGCGCCGTGATTGCTCACGCACATAAACACACCTGCCCATCCATGCGTAGGTGCCGCCTGCACTGTCGGCGAGTGGCTCGACACCAACGGCCAGCCGGCCCCCTGCCAGCGCGGCCCCGACGCGGCCGCGACCAGGCTCGTGCGGCCCGCGGGCGCCGCGGCGGCCGCGGCGGGGGCGGCGGCGGCGCCCGCGCAGGACCCGCTGCAAGGGTTGCAGGGCGTGTGTGGCCACCAGGCGGCGCTAGCAGAGGCCGTACGCCTGGCCGGCCCTATTGTGCCCGCCCCCGCGCTGGGGGCCGGGGCAGCGCCCGTGCCGGCGTCGGTGTCGCGTGAGTTGGCGCAGCAGCAGGTGCTGCTGCTTGAGACAAACGTTGACAACGGAGAGGGGGAGCCCGCGCAGCAGCAGCAGCAGTGGCAGCAGCAGCAGCAGCAGCTGCAGCAGCAGCAGCAGCAGCTGCAGCAGCAGCAGCAGCAGCAGCAGCTGCAGCAGCAGCGGCAGCAGGCGCCACCGGACGCCTCCCCCAGGCCGTCCGCGCGGCGACGCGCCGCCTCGAGCGGCGGCGGGGGCAGGCCCCAACACCACGTGGTGACTGTGACGCGGCTGCATCGTGGCACGGCGTCTGCAGACGGCGCTGTCACCGGCGCTGCCGCCGTCCGTGGCTCGCCCCGGCCGTCGCACCTGGTGAATCATCACAACCAGCAGCAGCAGCAGCAGCAGCAGCAGCAGCAGCAGCAGTCACAGAACGGCGCGGACACGGCCGCCGCGATGCTCGACTACCTCTCTGGCGTGTCATCCGCGCCGCCGCCGCACCTGCTGCCCCCGCACGCAGCCCCCACCGCCGCCGGCCGGCCGCTCGACCTGCGGGGCCTCTTTCGTGCCGTGGTGCAGCGCGGCGGGTACGGCGCCGCGACGCGGGAGCGGCGGTGGGGGGAGGTGCTGGCGCTGCTGGGCCTGGAGGGGGGCGGCGGCGGAAGTGGAAGGGGCGGGGGCGAGTTCGTACTCATGGAGGTGCGTGAGATGGCGGGAGGTCGTGTGACTGGGGGCCGCCGTGGCGGGTGCGGGGCAGCAAGACTGGGTTGGGGGGGTGCAAGGGGTTGCAGGGCCGCGGCCACACCTTTGTCACAAGCGGAGCGTTTCGTCTCGGCGGTGCTGTGTAGCCCTCGACAGCTGGCCGCCCTCGTGGGCGCGTTTGCAGCCCTGAGCAAACCGCCGCCGCTGCCACCCCGTTGCGTGTGCAGGTGCACGCGGCCTACCTCGAGTTTCTGCTGCAATTCGAGGCGCTGGTGGATCCGGTGACGTGGCAGCAGCCCGCGGGGCAGCCGGTGAGCCCGCGCCCACGCCGTGCGCCCCACGCCCCGCGCCCTTGAAGCTCCCCGCGCGCTCGCTGCGTGCCGTAGCGGCGCAGCATTTGGAAGTTCTGCCGCCCCCGTGCCGATGTCTGCATGGCGCGCACGCTGCACGGTGGATTGTTTTTTTCGTGCAGGCCCCGCGCGTGAGCAATTGGGGCAGGCTCGGCAAGGGGGTTGTCTTGCAAGCCCGTGTGCTCGCGTGACGCCGCTTGGTCACCGGCGCGCCTGCCGCTTGACACCCTCCCCACCCCACCCCCTTATCTGACGCGTCACCGCGACCCCAGTGCGCCTCGATGATGACAGCCCTGGGCTCTGCCTCAGGACCCAGCGGCGGCGGCAGCGAGGCCTTTGGGGGCGGCGCGGGCAGCAGTCAGGGGGCGTGGAGCGCCCCGACTTGGCCGGGCCGCTCTTTCGCGGGTGGCGCGAGCGGCAGCAGCAGCTGCAACCACACAGGGTTCAGTGGCGGCGGCGGCGGGCGCGCGTCCAGGTCAGCGGACGGCTACAACAGCTCTTGGCCGCTGAAGCACAGCGTCTCTGACGCGGGCGCCGGCGGGGGCGGCGCGACGCCACGCGGCGTCGCGGCGGCGGCGCAGCCGCTTGCAGCGCTGGAGCGGCCGCCCAAGCGCCGGAACTTGGACAGCGGCGGTGCCGCGGCTCGCCCCACGCTTTGGAGCCCATCGGTCGCAGACGTCTTTTTTGGCCTCTCGGCTCCCGCTGCCCCTGCTTCACTGTCAGAGGGGGGCGAGGCCGGCTGCGGCGCGCGCCCCCCGGTTGCGGCGCCGCAGCTGCTGCCACCGCCGCAGCAGGGCGCGTGGCTGCCGCGGCCGCAGGCGCAGCTCTGGCAGGAGCAGGTGTGGCAGGAGCAGCAATGGTGGGCGCTGCAGCAGCAGCAGCAGCAGCAGCAGCAGTGTTGGCAGCAACAGCAGCAGCAGCAGCAGCACCAGCAGCACCAGCAGCAGGTGCGGCTCCACCAGGAGCTGCAGCTGCCGCAGCACGTGCAGCCGCAGCAGCAACAGCAGCAGCAGCAGCAGCCCCCGCCGGCGTCCCACCAGCACGCTGTGGCCGGTCCGGAGCCGAGCATGGAGCGCGCCACCTCCCCTCCCAAGGCGGCCCAGCAGACCGCTGACACCATCGTGCCCCACAGCGATGAGGGCTGCACTGCTGAGGGCCTGCTACTGAACCTCGACCTGCCGCCTCTGGACGAGATCGAAATGTCAGATCTGGATCTGACCATCGATGCCGTGTTTGACTGAGTGCTGGCGGGGCCGGCGGCCACCCAGAGCGCGCGGCACGGCCCGACCCCTCAGCTTCTTCGCGCACGTTTGCAAGGCTTGACCTCAACTGCAAACGCATGCACCGCTTCCCACGCAGAACATTGATTCAGTCCCATCGCCTTGTTTGTGCGTTCAATCAATACACAGCAGACCTCCGTTCACGGGGCCGCCTCGGCGCAGGCGGCGCCGGCAAGATTCGCCCATGCATCCCCTGTAGCCCCAAAAGGCGCTTGATGGCATTCGAATGCCCCTTTGCAGAGCCCGCCATGTATGTGCGGGGTCTGCCTGCAGGGTGCGACAGGCAGCCTGCGTCGCCGTCAGCGCGCGTCGTCGCACAAAAGGGTCACGTGCGCGCTGTCGATGCATGCCGGTTCGTATTGCCATCTGGCCGGGCCTGATGACGAGCCATGCAATTGATACACTTTTCGTTTGCGGTAGGATAGGTCTTCTGGAGCGGGGGCTTGCCGGTTCAAAGCCACGGCAGCCGTTTGCTGCGACACACCCCGTTTCGGCTTGGCGGCGGCAGGGACTTGCACCGGTGGGTTCTACGCTCCAATTCCAATTCTTGAACTTGAGGCGTTTGCTGGCGGCTCTGGCGCTTCTGGCGTCCAACTTACAGATTGTTGTGTTTAACAATACGCATGCTGCTGGCCGCCTCTCGGCCTCCAACTAGCGGGCCATTTGAGGACCTGCTGCGTCTGATTCTCCGCCGCTTGGCCTCGAAACAGCCGGCTTGAAGCGATCAAACGCGCACACATACTTTTAGCCGACCTTGCCACCCCGCCGCCGTCGGCCGCATTGGCGTGGCGCGGCCGGGGCGTCCTGTTTGGCCCATGGTCACCTGTTGCCGAGCAAGTCCCTGAGTCCGCACGCGTGCGTGTGTGTGTGTGTGTGTGTGTGTGTGTGTGTGCATGTGAGTGCGTGTGGGCGCGACAACACGATGTGTGTCTGATGTCCTTTCGCAATTGCATGGCCCACTCGCTTTTCCCAGCCGGCTCGCTGTGCACGCACCAAGATTGCTCGCCAGGGTAGCTGATCGCCGTGGCCGACTCATATAAGATCCATCAGCAGGCGCACGGCCCGCCCTTCTTGCGGTGCGCCAATGCGCTTCAACCTACGTCCATGCCACGACCCAAGCCCCCGTCACCGCCGGCCCTGGTCCCGTCGTCGTGCCGCCCCGCCGCAGCCAGATGGGTTGACTGCCGGGCACGCCGCGAGGGGCCTCACCGCCTGTCTTGCCGGCCTCGGCTTCGCACACGCGCCACCCATGCCCAGGAACCACTTGGGTGGCACTCCGTCGTCAGAGGCGCCCGCGCGCAGTGAACGCGCGCGTGGCGCCTCCAGCCCGCTTTTCGCTGTTCGCTGCCGGCGCCCCATGCCAGCTTCTCGTCGCGGCACTTCAGGCGCCGACCGTCGGTGTTGCTCCTTGCACCCCTTTTTTCTCCGCTTGCCTAGCTAAGCTTGACGCTCCGCCCTCCAATGCCCATTAATGAACTTGTGGGACCTGCTTGCCTCGCAGCCGCTTTTCAGGGGTTTCGCCGCAGAACGGGAGCTTGTTTGCCATGCTTGCTTCGTCGCAACCTGTTGCCCCCCGGCGGCGGCCGCCACGACGCCCTCCAGAAAACGTCACCGCGCGCCGGGTCGATCGTTGGGCAAGGCGTGTCGTTTTACAGGCGCCTGGCACTCCCTCGGGCAGGCCGGCCAGGTGTCTTTTGAGTTTTTCCACTGTCGCAGGATCTGTCCAGGGTGCCTTAGGTGCGTCCCCGCTCCTATGGGTTTCGCACCATCCTGCCATGCATCTTTGGGCGGCCTGCGCCCTGCATTCCAGCCGAGCGGCTCCGCCCCCAGATTGGCGGCGGCTGCCGCGCCCGTGCAGCCGGCCCCTTCCCCCGTTCACCCGCACACCTCGAATCTGCAGCTGTAATGAACGGTCGCAGCCGTCTCGACAGTGCAGCGGGGCGCATGGCCCGAGCGCAGCGCCCGCCTCAAGCCAGGGTCACAGATATGGGTCCAGGGTTTACACAGCGCACATCGCCGAGCAAGAGCCACCGCGCAGCGCGCGTGTGTTTGGAGTAACAAGGGCAGCAGCGGTGGCCTGTGCGTGTGTAGCGAGCGAGCCAACGCAGCCGACGGCCGACAGGCGGCCTGTCTGATGTATGCATCCTGCGGGCCAATTCCTCTAGCACAAGCAGCGGACAGGCCCCGCTGATTACCAGGGCAGGGCCTGCAAAGGCGGCGCACCCGCGCGGCCGACGGACTGCGCGTCGGCGAGCGAAAACGGCGGCGGGTGCGCCGCCCGCTGGCGCTGGGGCCGCCCGGCGTCTGCGACTGCCCTGGCAGCCGGCCCCGCCTTCCTCGCGCGGCGGCCGGCGTGCCGACGCGCGCCCCCGCCCTCACCCTCATGCCGCGAGCGGCTGCACCCGCAGCAGCCGCGTCTCCCGCGGGTTGAGCATCGTCGCGTGCAGCTTCCACCCCTGCCTCTCCGCCTGCCGGCTGAACTCCGCGTAGAGGCCGTCCAGTACCGGCTTCGACGCCTCCATCAGCCTCTGCACCTGCTCCGCCCGCCCCTCCCCCGCCGCCGCGCGCCCGCCGGCCACCAGCCGCGACCACGGCTCCAGCGCCGGCGCGGGCGCCGGCGCCGCCGCTACGGTGCCGTCCTCCGCGGCGGCCGCGGGCTTGTCGCCGTGGCCGGACACGGCGGCGCGGATGGCGGCGGCGGGGTTGGTTGGGGCTATGCAGGCCTCCATCAGGTGCAGGACCATATGGGCGCAGAAGGCTGCCTTCAAGGTGTCTGCGGTCTGCGCGCCGTCGCGCAGCACGACAAAGACCTGGGGGGTGGGGTGGGGTGGGGGCGGG